ATGATGATGATGATGATGATGATGATGATGATGATGATGATGATGATGATGCTGATGGGGATGACGCTGAGGGTGATAACGGTGGTGGTGATGATGATTTGGCGATGATGGTAATGCTGCTGTTAAAAGAATTGGTGATGGTGACGGTGGTGATCGTGTCGATGGTGATGATGCTAATGACGATGATGACACTGATGACGATGATGAGGCTGATGCTGATGCTGATGATGATGATGATGATAAAGATGAATATGATGATGCTGACGATAGTGATGATGATAATGCTGATGCTTTCGATGATGATGATGCTAATGCTGATGCTGATGCTGCTGATGATGATGCTGATGGTGGTGATGATGAGGATGCTTATGCTGATGATGATGACGATGGTGATTGTGATGACGATGGTGATGATGTTGTTTGTTGATGCTGATAATCATGCTGATGATGCTGATGATGACGATGATTATGATGATGATGTTGATGTTGATGGTACGAATGATTCTGACGATGATGATGCTGCTGATGCGGCTGATAATGATGCTGCTTGCGAGGATGATGAAGACGAGGAAAAAAGAGGATAATGACGACGATGATGGTGACGACGACGATGATGGTGTTGTTGTTGATGATATGACGATAACGACGATGATTCTGATGCTGCTGCTAATGATGATGCTGATGATATTGATGATGCTGCTGATGATGATGACGATGATGATGATGATGATGATGATGATGGTGATGCTGATGGTGATGCTGATGCTGATGCTGCTTTTGTTGTTGATGATGATGCTGATGCTGATGTTGATGCTGATGCTGATGCTGCTGCTGCTGATGATGATGATGATGATGAGGAGGAGGAGGAGGAGGAGGAGAGCGACTCCGAGGAGGAGGAGGAGGAGGAGGAGAAAGAGGGAGTGCGTGGGCCAGGATGAAGATGTGGAGATCCAGATTTGGAGGAGGAGGGCTTGTGAGCAGGCAGAGGTGGGAGGATAAGGAGAGATGAGTGTGATGAAGAGGAGAAGGAGGAGGAGGAGGAGGAGGAGGAGGAGGAGGGGGAGGACTAGTGTAAACCCAAGAGCCACCAACGATGTTGGAATGAACCCTCCCTCCGAGCTCCATCTTCATAGGCCCCTACAACGGTTAATTTCCACAGGGAACTGCCTCGTTGGAAGACAAACATTTTAGGACCCTGAAGCATGCCAAAACAGTGCTCTCGAGATTCCAACTCCACGGATCAACCTGACTGTTGCGTCTTGGCGATCGTGCATCGTGCCAGAACGCCATTCCTGGGACTTCAACACCGCAAAGCAGCGTAACCGTTGCACCCTCATAATCTTGAATCTTTCCAAACCACAATTTCTGGTACGCTGATCACGGGTCCTCGCAGTACAGCAGGTACGGTAGCCCGAGCTGGTAGCTGCTGGGGAGAGACTCGTCCAGGTTTCCTCTCGATCGGGTCCATGTGGGGACCGCCCCGTCTGGCCGGAGAGCCCACCTACGCTCCCAGGGGGAGGGCGGCCGCGCGAACGCCATGTGATCGTGCGTGGTGGGGGGTCCACAGGAGGCCATCCAGGTCCTCATTCTAGGGCTCGCAACCCATGTTGCAGCGTTCATGACGAGAGCGTGCTCTGTCGGGAGGGCACCTAGTGCTTCCAGCATCGCGCTGCGGTGCACCTCGTCCATGGGGAAGACATTGTCGCTTACCACGTGCACGTGACGGTCTGGACGGAGGCGCCCGGCCAACCAGGCTGCTAGGGGGATGGCAAAGAAGTGCCAGGAGTGTGACCCAGCCAGTCCACCCCTCCCCCCCAGACTGCCGGCACGGGACAGGTTGTTGCAGGGGCTACCTCCGGCGATGAGAGCCAGAGAGTCTTGGGGAAGTGACCGTGCCAATCTCTCCCATGGCGACGGGCGGGTTCGCTCTGCGCCAGTCCCGATGGATGGCTGCCTCAGAAAGAGGTCCCATACATCACCTGCAATGGGTCGGTGCGGGGGGCCTCCATCGAGTCTATGCGCGGCGTCTGGGGACCAGTATCTGGCGACTCTTTGCGCGAGGTCTGTGTCTGTCTCGGCCAGTACAGAGTCGCGGAAATGCGGTCGCCGTGGGAGCTGTTCATTAGGTCTCCTAGTGTTAACCTTGCCAACCCGGTGCCGTCGAATAGGGAAGCGAGCGTGGCCGTCCTTGGGGAGGGGGCGTCCTCGGCCGCGAGAGCCGGCATGTTCGACGTCGGCCGCGCATCGCCTGTGCCAAGGGCGGAAGGGTTTGAGAGCACAGTAGCGCACTCGTGCCGTTCGTGTCGGCGGGCGCAGGGGCGGTGCGATGCGCTCTGCCGGTCCCGCCATGTCATCGATCGTGGAGGATCTAGTATCGTTGGTAATAGTGCTGGCGCGCCGGCGCGCGTCCAGCAGAGGGTCTCGAGGTAGGATGGGGAAGATCCCCGTGGCGGGGTCTGTGTGCGCTTCCCATATGGCGTTGAGCACGTCTCGTGCGTCGGGCGGGGATCATCCTGCTTCTTCCCAGCCTTGCTCTGCCTGCCTATCCTGACCAGGGGTAGGCTTCTGGTGCCTGTGCGACTCCTCCGTCGCCTGGCGCTTGGTCGGGCTGGAGCTCGTCCTTTGCCCTCCCTTTCCTGCCCTAGCTGCGCGTGGGAGTCGGGTTGCTGCTGCGTAGGGGCTAAGCCGGGGGGAGTGGGGTCAGGCTCCAGCGCTCCGGACGGGCGCCCGCTCCTGGTGCCCGCCCTGGAAGGGATGCTGCCGGGCCGCGACAGCATCGTCATCGGGGGTGCCTGAGCCGGGATGCGTGGAGGCTTGGGTTGACGCGGGGCTGCATCTGGGGCGTCGGAGGAGATCGGGGGTGCGTGGCCGGTTCGCTCGGGGGTGGCCTCTGGCGCTCTGGCTAGGGGCGCCGGCAGGAGTGCGGCCCCGTGTTGCGCTTCCTGTCGCGTCGCCCTGGGGGTGCGGTGCCGCCCCCGCAGCGTGGACAGGATCTGGCCCTGGGGCCTGCTCGCCTGGGTCTGAGCTCGCGACGGCATCAGCGGGGGAGCTGGAGGAGTAATCTGATGTTTCGGCGGGCCTGTCTACCTGGTCACGTTCGGCAGGAGTGGCTCTTTCCATGATTACCACAACAGGCAGGAAGTCCCGCGGGAGGTGGAGCGTCGAGCAAACGGAGGCCTCGCTGGCCACGCGGGTGGTGATGTAGTGTGTAGAATTTCGTGGGGAATGGGCTCGACTGGCTCGAGGGGAAGGAAGTCGTGGCTGACGCCGAGTGGCTCCCCGAGCCTATAGTGGTGGAGGCATGCGGTGTCGAGCGCCACATTGACACTGTCGGGGAGACACGGGTGATGGGTTCTTGTTGATTCCAGTTTTGTATGAGACGGTCGAGGGGGCTCGGTTTAGAGGCCCAAGCTGACGAACATGCGCGTAGTAGTTGCTATTAGCTCAGACGTGAGCGTGCCCCTGACGAGGGCCGCGAGCGTCGCCTGCTATCGATTTGCGCTGGCACCTGCGGCGTCGTTTTGGCCGCACGCGCACAGTGCTGCCGGAAAGGCTCTGCGACCACCTTAGCGCGCTACTTTTACGAGGTCAGTCGGGCAACCCCTCGCTGGCGGACCTCCAACTGGTCCCGAAGCGCCAGTATGACCCCGTCCACGCGCGCACCACCATTCCTGTATTTCGCACCGTAGACGACAGGTTCGGAAGTAACCTTTACTCTGGCTTCTGGAAGTGCCAGTGCGATCGCTGCCCTCGGGACGTTCCGAAAAAATGCAGTGATTGCGCAGAGACGCCCTCCTGGGCTCGTTCATCTTCCGTCCTGGGAAGGAAGCGCAGTTGCAGCTGCGCGGCGGCATTCCGATCCTGGGTGGGCACGCCCGAGCCTTTGCCGACGTGGAGTGGGACGCAGCCTGGTCCTGCGAGGACTGCCTTATGCGTCTGTGGGATGGCCGTCTCAGCCATGTTCGGGCCATCCTGCCGTCGTGACCTGTTCCCTCAGGGGATATTCAAAGGAAAAGAGGGATCGCAACGCCCCGCGCCCAGCGCCCAAGCACCCAGGCAGCCCGACAACCCATCCGCGTTTCCCCGACCCAGAACCTTTAAGTGCCTGGGCTCCCAAACCAAAGGCAGACCCCCGGCGTGTGGCAAGTGCTGCGGGCGCCGCCGACCTCCGCGCGTCCCCATCGGCGGCGGCCCGGCTCTCGTTCGCCCGCGCGACGGCCGCGCGCCCTGGGGGCAGACGGGCCCGTCGGCGTCAGCCCATGCAGGAACAGGTCCGCCAAAGAAGAATCATCTGCGTTCTGCTCCCCTGGCAGTCGCAGGGCAATCTCGCGCGGGCCCCCGATTGCCGGCGGCCGTGGCTCGCAGCTAGCTCCAGCGCGGCGGGGCACGACCGCGCCCGATGGCCGCGCCGAGAGTTCCCGCGGCCCCCTACCCCAGGGCGCGCCGTCAGCAGACCGGGTCGACTTCGGCAGCAGGGGGGCGCGGCAGCTTGCGGGCGGAGCCGCCAGCCCGCCCCGCGCCGCCCCCGCTGGGCCTCATGGTCGGCCCCCCCAGCGTTTCCCCCCGACGTGCCCCCGCCTGAAGGCGGGGGCCATCGCCGCTCTGCAGGCAGCCAGATCCATCCATCCCGAAAAAGCGATGGGGATTGCAGACGATGCTGCTGGTGCACGTCATGTTGGCGTTTGTTCGGACGGCCCCCCTAGATGTCGACGAGCGCTGGAGGACTTGGGCGACGAGGGGCGCTGACTCCGCGCCGTGCCAGCCCAGGAGAGGCATGGGCCCCCTCTCGGACCCCAGAGCTTGGCCCGAGGCGTGCTGTCGGGAGTTCCTGATTTTCATCTACGGCGATTCCATTCCAGCGTCTGGGATACCGACGGGAGTCCAATGGGGCGGTGAGAGCGCCACCTTGGCCCTCCTGGTCTACCACTTGCACTGGCAGACCTCCCATGGCCCCGCCACCTTCAGGCCTCCGCCGGCTCGCGCAAGGGGCCCGACGAGTGAGGCGCGTACCGCGGCAAACGCGACCCCCGAGCGTCTGGGAAGGGACGAGGCCCTGCGTGGTGCAGGAAGTCTTGCTTGGCTACCTGGAGTCAGGGGGGATCACGTCGCTTCAGCGCCCGAAGGTGCTGGACTTTCGGATAACCGCCAGAAGTAAGAGGCTGGCTCTCACGGAGGCCTCCCCCCAGCGCTAGCCCGCGGGCAGTTGCCAGCGTCCTGCCAGATTCAGCACCGAGGCGGAGTCGGCAGCCCAGCGACCCCGCGGCAGCTCCCCACATGCGGAGCGACCCAGATTGCCGCCCCCCCAGCACCGCCGAGGCAAGGCACGGAGCGACGCGCCCAGAGCCAGGTCCCCCACCTCCACCTGGGCGGGGAACTGTACCAGTCCGCGCCAGTGGCATGGGCGGGCGCGCCGACTCGTCGGATGTCTCCCCGTGGGCTCGGCAGGACAGGATAGGGGGGAGCTCGAGCCCCCGTCCCGCCTCTCGCGAGCCTTCCCGCGAATGCTCCTGCGAAGGTCCTGCCAGCGGGCGTTTTGAAGGGAAGCGCAGCCCCGGCGTCTCCCCTCGGCCAGCGGTCCGCGGGCCTTCTCCAGCCCCATCCGTGCCGTGCCTCCGCCGCCCGTGGCGCCCCGACCGCAGAGGATGAACCAGTGCGCAAAACCCCAGGGCTGGCGAACGCGCAGCCCCGACACACCTCAGAGGGAGCGCGGCCGAGGCTCAGCGGAGACCACCCCGCCCTGGAGACGGGGGGCGGCACCGCGCCGCGCGCCCCCTGTCTCATTGCCCGCTCCTCATTCGGACAGGGATGATGGACTCTACGATATTCCAAGGCGCCAGTTTTACTTGGGCCCCTATCTGGAGGCGCGGAGACAACGCAATGGAGGACTGGAGAGCGGTGGTCAATCGCCTCAAGAGAGACTGCTGCCCCATGCTCACCATTGGGTGGAACGTCGTTTGCGATCACGAGTCTGGGCCCCGCTCCGACAAGGACCCGCGGCGTCGCGACCCTGAATTCTGCAAAGGCTTCGTTGCTGACCTTAACGAGATCAACTATGATGCGCGCAGGCTCTGCTGGAAGGAGGGCATGCACGTCGATTGAAACTCTGAATGATATCGCGAACATGAGAGGCGGAGGCAATACTCTAACTTCGCAAAATGCAAGGTGAAGGGTGCTCCTTCGCAGGGGGGTCGGAAGCGGCCGGCGGGCTCCTCGTGGCCAAGCAATGGCCTCTCCCGCCAGCGCTGGTCAGCTTCCAGCGTGCGCCGCTGGAAGCCTTCAGCGGCATCGCGGCCTCAACCTGTGCTGGGCGTGGCACTCCCGCCCTGGCAGTGGGCCCTTGTGCCGCCGCCCCCCCCCTTCCTGCCTTCGTGGCTCCTCGCATCGTGGGCTTATTCGGTGTCCCCCGTCGCGCGCCAGTTCGGCGACTCCCCCCGCGAGCCCCCCTGCGCCCGGGGCTTGCCCTCCTATCGCGCGCAGGCGTGGGGCCCGCCCGCGCCTGTGCTGGCGAGCGGCCAACTCCCCTGCTGGCCGCCTTCCTCGGTTTGGCCCCGTCGCCGCTGGCTGGTCTTGCCGCCTGCTCGTGACTGTGCCCCGGCCCTCCCGCCTACCTTGGGGTGTTCTGCACCGCCGCTTCCTACCTTTCGTGGCGCCGGCTTTCTGCGGGTTTTGTCCGGGCCCTGCCTGCGGCGCCCCTTTGCCTTGCCGGCTTGGTCGGCCAGGGCAGCGCTTGCTTTGGTGCCTGTGCCCCTCTTCTCTGCTTGGCCTTCTAGCCGCGCCCCCAGCGCCGGCTGCCAGCGTCTGGTCCTGACGCTTCTTTAGCGCTTTTGGCGCCCGCCCAGTTCCGGCTACAGGTGTCTGGCCGTTGTCGCTTCTTTGTAATTTCGCCCGCGTGCGGGTGCGCAGGTGACTCCGCCCCCGGTATCATCCGCTCGCGTTGGCCTGCCGCCCTTCATTGGGCGCGGCCCGCCTGCCCGCCGCCAGACGGCGTCCGGCCTCGGCGCGCCCGCTTCTTCGGTTCGTCCGTCGCCCTGTCCTTGCCGCCTCGGTCCGCTCTCCGGCGGTGCCGCCCCGGCCCCTCCCCGCGGTTGCGCCTCGCAGGCCCGCGGGTCTCAGCGCTTCGCTTTTCTCGGGGCGGGCTCGGCTGCTCGGTTGGGCGCCGCGCCCTCCAGTGTCCTGTTCTGCTTGGTTCCAGGCTCCTCGCCGCCGGGCCCGCCCCGCGGCGGCCTGCGCCGCTCCGCGCTGCTCCTCGTGCCCGCAGCGCCGCGCTCGCTGCTAGGGATGCCGTTTGGCCGCTTCTCGCCCTGGTCAGCTCAGTTCATGCCAAGAGGCCTCCCGGTCTCGGTGCGTCAGCTGCCCTCTGGGCCGCGCCTGATGGTTCGTCGGGCCGTGCTGGCGCTCCCGTTGCCTCTCTTTTGCCGCTCAGTCAGCTGAGCCGCGTGCCTCCAGCTTCTGCCATGCGGCTCTGTGTTGCCCTGCTCAGCTCAGTGCAGCTGTGTGCAGCTCAGCGCGCTGGCTCCCCGCCGGTCTCCCCCTGCCTGGGCCTCTCCCTGCACGCGCCTCGTTGGCCCGCTGGTCTCGGCTTTCGGCCCATCCTTGGACCGCGCCCTGGGCCGGGCTTGGGTCCGCTACGTTGTATTTCTCCAATACCAGTTTCAGCACAGTGCTGCCTCCCCCCCAGCTTCAGCTCAGTGCAGCTCAGTGCAGCTCAATGCCGGCGCTGGTCTCCTACCTCGGCCCCCCCCCCGCCGCAGTCGGCAGCTCTGAGTGGCCCGGCTTCCTTTTCCCCATTCGCGCCGGGCCTCCTCGTCTTCCTCCTTCGTGCCTTGCGGCCTTAATTTGTATACAGTGTGTCCCCAGCTGCCATTCCGCTGGAGCAGTCACCTTCTGCCCAGCCGCTGACGCAAAGTGTGTGTGTGTGTGTCGGAACGGACGTGCGGGCGACGACAATGGCAGATCAGCACGAAGATGCAGCAGGCGGCAGCGCAGCAACAGCCGCAGGACAACGGATGTTGGGCAGGGGAGGAGGAACGAGGAGGGAGATATGCGGCGCAGCGGGGAGCAAAGGAGGGCCCAACAACACTGCAGGGTTGGGAGCGAGGATGAGAAGGAGGAGGAGGAACAGGACAGCCAAGCGCACGTGAACACTTGGACGTGAAGGATCCGGATACTGGCGCGAAGGATCCCGGATGTGCCGTGGAACGTCTCCGGGAGGGCCGGGTGCGGGTCGGGCGGCTCTGAGGTCCGCTTACGAGGGGGACGTGCTCATCCTTGGCAGCGATGGCGTTTTCGACAACTTGTTTCTCGACGAGGTGTCCGAGAGTCTCTTTCGCGAGCCCGCTGCGAGGGGGAGGTGCTGTAGCACGTCCGTGTGAGGGCAGCAGCTCTTGCAATCCAGAATGGCGCACCCGAGCGAACGGCAAGCCCCAACGGCCCCCAGAGCCTTCCAGGTTTCAAGAGAGGCCCCAGACTGAACGCAGCCTCCCCGACCTGTAGACGAAGGGGCGGGCGACGACAGCGGCCACGACGACGCTCAATGGTTTCACGCACGAGCTCCAGGTAGTGGCAGGACACCCTGACCAGCCCATAGAAGAGGGGGTCCCCAAGGCTCGGTTGGGATATTTACCCTTCAAGGAAAACCGCCAAGCAAACCTAAACCGTCCCCTCCTCCTTAGTCTGTTTCGGGTTCCCTTGTTCTGTATCTACCCAGGCTTCTGGCGACGTGTTTTTTAAGCAGCGTGGCTCCCCAGAGGTCTCGACTTCATGTCGTGGACCCGCTTTTCGCCCCGGGTCGTGTTTTGACGGTCCTCGGGCTCGGCACAGCCACCCGAAGATTGAAAATTTCCAGCAGCCTTCTGGCGTATTTGCTCTGGCACCTCTGGAACGCCCACGGCGAGGCGCAGTTGCTGGCAAGCACCCTGGGGCGAGTTAGCCTCCAATAGCCCACGAACGCTTTCGGAACCCTCCGACGGGAGGGTCCCGGTGTCGCCAGAGGTGTCCCTGGCCCAAGGTGCCCCCAGGATTTCATAAAGGAGGCCCCCATGGCCACCAAAGCACCGCTTTCGAGACCTAGAGACGGCACTAGGGGCTTCAAAATGGATCGACAAAAACGGGGACACCTTCTTTCGAAAAACCAAGGACGGCATAGACAGAAACTTGTGGAGGTCCACGCGGCTTTTGTGGATCGGCGCTCTGGTCCCCCTCCCTGCGCGCGGGTCGCGCCAGAGGCGGCGCTGGACGCGCCGCCTGGGAGGCCCAGCGCCGATCCAAGAAATCCTCGCGGAACTCCGCGAGCTTACGCTCACGACGTCTTCTCTTCCTTTCTTTGGGGTTCGGATCGGCGTCATCCCAACATATTTATACTATATGTGCGTCGCCCCCCAGGGGCGACGCGCGCATCGAGAAATCTTAATAGTACACGCGTCGTGGCGGGCGCTTTCTGGCCACACCGCTCGGGAAACGAAATACTACAATATGGGTATATTGTATGTTCGGGTCGGACGCGCGCCTCCAAGGAACACATATAGTACTATTCTGTTTTTGTGCATCCCATTCTGGGCCTGGGACGCCTTTGGCAAACCCCGAGGGGGCGTCGGAGCAGGCAGGGCGGCCTCGCGAGGGCAGCCTCTGCCGCCCCACCTCCGTCACGGTAGTCCGGGCAGCGCGGCGCACACGCTTCGCCCGAAGACGCCGGGCGTCTCGCGTGTGGGGGGTGGCAATGGCCATTGGTGTGCGTAGAGTTTTCAGGAGGCAGAGGAGGAGGAGGCGGAGGAGGAGGAGGAGGAGGAGGAGGAGGAGGAGGAGGAGGGGAGGAGGAGGAGGAGGGGAGGAGGAGGAGGAGGAGGAGGAGGGGAGGAGAGGAGGAGGAGGAGGAGGAGGAGGAGGAGGAGGGAGGAGGAGGAGGAGGAAGGAGGAGGAGGAGGGAGGAGGAGGGGAGGAGGAGGAGGAGGAGGGGGGCGGCGGCGGCGGCGGCGGCGGGAGGAGGAGGAGGAGGAGGAGGAGGAGGAGGAGGAGGAGGAGGAGGAGGAGGAGGAGGAGGAGGAGGAGGAGGCGGAGGGGAAGGAGGAGCAGTCCAGTACCCTCTCGGCCTACGGCACGAGGGTATACAACACACCATGTACAGGCCAGCTGACACACCGTTCGCCCCAAGCGCCGCCTGCCAGCACGTACCTGCACGTGTATGTCGTGCACTCCGTTCGGATGCCCTCCCCCCTTTGGTATCTCAGGTTATCATTGTCTTGGTACTTCCCTTCCAGCCACAGGATGCTCGCTCAGCTACTGTGCACCTTCATGGACACTTCTACTTTTACCAACTCTATTTGTTACCACCTGTTGCCAACCGTCCTGTGGTGTTGGGTCTTCGTTTTGAAGAGACAGCGCCCCGCGTTCCCCACTCACTCCTCCTTCCTCCTCCCCCTCCTCCCTCCTCCCTCCTCCCTAGCGCCCAGTACATCGTTTCGTGGCCCCATAGGGAGCTCGACCGAAGGTCACAGTGGCGCAGTCCGCAAGCGGTTCCCCCACCGAGTACAGCCTTTCGTGGCTCCAGAGGGGGTTCCACCGAAGGTCCCAGTGGCGCAGTCCGCATGCGGTTCCTCCGCCCAGTACAGCGTTTCGTGGCCCCATAGGGTGCTCCACCGAGCTCGCATGCGTTTCTCACACCCAGTACAGCGTTTCGTGGCCCCAGAGGGAGCTCCACCAAAGGTCCCCGTGGCGCAGTCCGCATGCGGTTCTCCCACCCAGTACCTCGTTTCGTGACCCCATAAGGGGGACCCACCGAAGGTCCCAGTGGCGTTGTTCGCATGCGTTGTCACCCGCCCAGTACAGCGTTTTGTGGCCTCATTGTGAGCTCCACCGCAGGCCCCAGACGCGGTGTTCGCTTACGCTTCCCCCTCCCCAGTGTAGCATTTCGTTGCCCCACAGGGAGCTCCACCGAAGGTCCCAGTGGCTGAGCTCGCATGCCTTTTCTTCACGCAGTACAGCGTTTCGTGGCCCCTTAGAGAGCTTCACCGAAGGCCCCAGTTGCGGTGTTCGCATGCGGTTCCCCACCCAGTACAGCGTTTCGCTGCCCCATAGAAAGCTCCACCGAAGGCCCCAATGGCGGCCCTTGCCCCACTGTGGCGCACCCCTCGCACGTGTCGCCTAAAGCACCAGTGGCAGCGCCCACATGGCGGCCCCGCTCCACATCGGCACACCCTTCGCATGCTTCATGGCCCCATGAGGAGATCCCCCAAAGGCGATACCCGCAACGACGGTACTCACAATTGCATTTGCCAGGATCATTTTTCGGAGTTGGCAGCGCCTCTGGAGGCCCGGTATCTTTGCTGGCGTCCTCGAGGGGTGGCTGCTCGTCCCCCTCGTGCTTTCTCCTCCCTCCCCCCCTCTCTTTTTCTCTCTTCGCCTGCCTCTTCGCTCCCGCCTCCCTCACCCTCCGTCCTCCGCCCTCCTTCCTCCTTCGCCCCCTCCATCACCCCTCCTCCCTCCTTCCCCCTCCCTGCCTCCGTCCTCCCTCCCCGCTCGCCCCTCCCCGCCCCTCCCTCCCCGCTCCTCCCTCCCCGCTCCTCCCTCCCCGCTCCTCCCTCCCCGCTCCCCCCCGCCCCCTCCCTCTCGCTCCTCCCTCTCGCTGCTCCCTCGCCCCCTCCCTCCTTCCTCCCCCTCGCTCCTCCCTCGCCCACTCCCTCCTTTCGCTTCGCTTCGCTCCTCGCTCCTCGCTCCTCGCTCCTCCCTGCCTTTCCCTCTCCCTCTCCTCCTCCTTGCCCCCGGGCCCTTGCAGGCAAGGGCAGGCAGTGATTGGGGACCCCTGAACGGTGCGGTGACCACATTGTGCGGTGAGTCAGTGGGGATTCGGGGTGACCGCACGGGTTCGGGACTCTGGTCGTTCTCCGAGGATGTCTCGGGCGACGGGGGCCTCCCAGGTCCCAGAACCGCGCGTGGACGGTCCGTGCGGTGAGGGCCTTCGGGGCTTCGGGGCCACCGCAACGGTCTGTGACCACACGGCTTTGGGACCCCTGAAGTGACCAGAATTTCCAGGACCCTGAAAAGGGGGGAGGAGCAGGAGGAGAGCCAATGCAGGGTATCAACACCAGGGGCCACTCGGTCAGGCTGGGAAGCCCCTGCGCTGCGCCCTTTCAGGCGAGGGAGCGACGAAGCTCGTCGCCCGCCCGCGCCTTCCCTCGGTTGCCACGTGACGCGAGCATGACTCGGCGGCGAGCGAGGGGGGAAGGGAGAAGGAGAAGGCCTTCTCAGAAGGCGGCGTGACTTCTCAGAAGCCCTCGCGCCTTCTGAAAAGTATGTTGTGCCTTCGGGCACGGCCTAGAGCCTCTCGGAAGGCCCGCCCCTTCTCACTTCCCTCCCAAGCTTGTACGGAGCCCAGCTCCCACGGAGCTCACGCTTCTCTCAGGAGCCCAGCTCCAACGGAGCTGCACACTTGTCGGTGGGTTGTGACGCCTTGCTGCCAGGTTGTGAACATTTGCAACGACAGCCTCAGGCCACCGTTGCGTGAGCAGGCATCGCGGGGAGGGCGCACACTCTCTCTGGCACCAGCGGGCAGTCATCGAGCCTCCTTTGTCCTTGACCCTCTCTGTTTTCAGCTCTCCTGCCGCTTGACTTCGCTCCCTCCTCGAAGGAAGGCTTGAGAGGGGCGTCCTCTCTAGCTGTGATGTGCTGGCCTTCTGTGATTACCGAGTTTTCTGAGGTGTGGCTCGCGATGATCACAACTGCTCGTGGACCTTTTCTGCACTCGGCGGCGAAATCTGAACCCCGCCCTCGCCGATCAGGAATTCGTCGAACACGTGGCGGAATCCGAACCCTACCCCCACCGACCATCGATTCAGCAGATCCGATCGGTCCGATCCGATGTCGATTTTGTTCGGCTCGATCCGATTCGATATTCCGATATTCCGACGGTCTTATGCGGCTCGATGCCCGCACGGCGCCCTTGTGCATCCTGGCGCAGTCGGTACGATCCGACTCCGACTTCATGCCGCCCGATCCGGCGCATATTTCGAGTCGAGCCGATGTCCTTGTTAGATGCTCATTGATCGTGCCCAACGAGGATCGGCGGCGAGATCGGCGGCGAACCCAGGGGGGGAGGTGAGTGGGGCTTGCCTTCTCAGAAGGCGGCGGGCTTCACAGAAGCTTTCGCGCCTTCCGAGAAGCGGAGGATGCTTGCACGGCTTGTCAGAAGCTTCTGAGAAGCCCCGCCGCTTCCGGAGCCTCGAAACCTCGAAGCCCTGCCCAGGATCATTTTCCTGCCTCATCGGCGCGCCGCGACCCCTCGAGATGCTTGACGCTTCGCGTGCCCAGACGTGCTGGCGTGGTAAAGAAGTACGAGTTTTTTGTTTTTTTGTTTTTACGTTTTCCGGCTTCTCGGGGCCCTCCTCGGGCCCTGGGCCCGTCAAACAACGCCTCGGGATGAGCACCTGACGTGGGGAAAGGGTCGGGACTTCTATGGACCCCATATCGACAACGTCAAGACATCGGACGTCTGGGTAATCCCCGCCAGCCCATCCAGAAGCAAGGCCCGGGCGAGATGTCGGGAGACGGGAACAACATACACATGTCGTGAAAGAAGGGGTCAACACCAGGTCACCCGCGGGGCGCGAAGATAAATCGCGCTTCGCGCATCGCGGTTTGGGCCAGAGCGGTTGCTCTTATCCAAGTGGGCGGTGCGAGGGCACGAGGGTGCGAAGATAATCGCGCTTTGCGCATCGCGGGGCGCGATGCGCGCAGTTGGGTGACCTAGGCAACAAGGTTGAGCTTGCAGCCAGATCCGTGGGATCCTTGGGATGCGAACTCTGGAGGGGGGTCGGATGGGGTGGGGTGGAGGGGGGTTGGAGGCGGGTGGAGGGGGTTGGCGTGGAGGGGGGATCCAAGCCCCCCCCACCACCGTCCAGACCCAGGGGAGGGGGTAGGTAATCCCCTCCCCAAAGGGGGGGAGGGGGATTGGAAGAGGAACCGCTTTGAACCACCTGCGCCCAGATGGCTGGTGGCGGCTAGAGCGTAGCGGTCGGTGGCGGCTAGAGCAGGCCCCCCGAACGGATGGGGGTGCGGGCGAGGCGGGGCGGAGAGGTGCGGCGGCGGCGAACCGCGGTTACGGCGCCCCCGCGCGGGCGGAGATGGCACGCAGTGTCAAGGGCCACATGGTGCCGAGGTGACGCAAGCCGCGAGGGCACCCAAGCAGGCGGCGACCAGTGCGGGTCCGCCCCATAAGAGGGGGCGGCCTGAAGACCAGGCACAGCAAAGGGCGAGTTGGACAGGGCGCGGGCGGCAGAGCCGGCCCAGGCCCCGGGAGGGGGGGGGCGGGGAGGGCGGCCCTGCCTGGGGCGGAGGCCGCGAGGGAGGGCAAGCTCGTGGCTGCAAGAGCTGCGGGAGCGGGAGAGCCAACGCACTAGGGGGGCCGAGGTCATCCGAGACCGACCTGGCGGTCGGCGGCGGCAAAAGCAGGCGCCCCCGAAAGGGGGGGGGGTGGCCCAGGCGAGGCGGGGCGGGAGGGCGACGGGCCGGAGGCGGCCGCAAGGGGGGCACCGAACAGATGGCGTCAAAGCGAAGACCAGGAGAGGTGGGACGGGGCGCGCAGGGAGCGGCCCACCCGCAGAGAGACGCACCGCGGCGTCCCCGACTCGACGTCCAGAGGCGCTGGCAGGTTCGGAAGCACGACTGCCAGTAGCGGGCCGAAAGCGTTTCAGCCGGTCGGGCGAGGGGGGAGGGCGGGCCGGCGGTGCCCGAGGAGGGTGGCGGGGGCAAGGAGACGGGCAGCACCCGTGGCAGAGGGGGGGCGGGGCAGGGCTGCAAGACCGGCCCGATGCCCGGCCTGGGACAGCAGGCGAGCCAGCTGGCGAGCTGGCCTGGAGCGGGGGGCCCCCCATGAAATGCGCGCCAGAAAGCTTTCCAGAGTCAGGGTGCTGAGACCAGTGGGCTGCCTGGGACGGGTCCTCCTTAGTGAACGGACTCCGGGTGCTAGGGGAAATGCACCGAGCGATCCTCTCAGCCCCCGGGGGGCCTTGCATCCTCGATTTTATGGCGCATGCGCAAAATCTCGCAGCTGCCCGCTCCCGTCGAAGCACGGCGTGTGCTGGACACTCGTAGTGGCGATGCCAAGGCAAGCCGCGTGCAAACAAGCGAGCTTGTGGTCAGTGAGTTCCTGACACGAGACCCCTCAATCATCTCTGGTGATGTTTGGACAATGTTACATTCGTTGTCTTGAACATCCGCCTGGCCCCGTCTCCCCAGAACGGGTGCACAGGTGGCCCGTCTTGTCCACTCTGAAGGGAAGAGCGTGCCTGTCCGAAGGCCGAACGGCGCCCTGACCTGCCATCGTGGAGAGCTGCTGCAAGGGATACTCAGTTCCCACGTCAGTCACGATATGGTCGTGATCTCGAAACTCCCACCCTAGGCCACAATGGGTGAGAAGTTCAACGTCAGGATGAGAAGACGCCGATCTCCAAGGATGTTGTGAATTCTGGCACTTCTCTGGCGAGTGCTCGCCAGGGCCTGTTCGTTTGGGGCTCCCTTCAAGACTGCTGTAGACCACGTGAATAGCATGTGGCCCGATGGTGGTCGACCTTGGCCCCGAGCCCGCAGGTGTGCATGCGGAGGCCCGCTGGCGAACATCTGGGAAGCTTGCCGAGGGAGCTTGCAGTGGCAGTCCGAAGGCCCGCCATCTTGGATGGGGCCACCCAGGAGACACTCGAGCTTTAGAGGGCCGCCGCGGTCGGGCCCGTCCCGTGGACCATCGCGCCGCCCTCCCCAGCTCCCTGCAACGTCTTCAACCTGCGAGCCCGAGCAGTGGCCGAAGCCAGACGCGCATTCTGGATCCCGACCCGACGAAGTCCTCCAAGAGTATCGTTCGTCCCCAGAATACGGGCCGTACCTGTGCTACAAAACGAGGGGGGACTTCATAATTGGCCGAGGTGCTCCTCTATTCCTTGGAGCAAAGGCACGCGCACTTCTTAAAACCAACGGGCAGCTGCAACTGCTCGAACGACTGAAACAAGGACTCGGCACCGCCTGCCAGCTGAGAGGCAACTTGGACTCGTGGGCTGCAACTCTAAAGGGTGGCGCCATCGACGGCATTCCTGCTGCGCAGAAGGTTCCTGCGCTCGCGCGCTTCAGCAGAGGACCTAGGGGCGACATTTTGGCAGCGGTAGTCGCTCATGAGCGTTTTGCAACAATCGTGCCGTTAGCCGCGATCACCTTCGAAACGGCTCCAAATAAAGAAGCGCGAGGAAGCCGGAATCGATCGATCAGTATTCTTTCTCACACGCACTGGAAAACCAAACCTTTTGGCAGATGCCAGCAAGTGGCCGTGGTCTACATTTTCGCAAAAATGACCAGTTCTAAGAGAGCCGAGGTCGATTCGAAGCCAGCCTTGCGACAGTGAGCTCCCAGGAGATGCGCTTATCCTGCTCGTTCGCTTGTCGGATTGAACCCGGACCCCCAGAATAACGAGTACACGTGGGCTTTCTCCCGCGAACGGCAAAAGGCAGTAGTCCTATGGGTCTGACCCTTTCCAGTAGGTTTGTCCAGACACAGTGCGTTGGCCAGGAACACCATCGATGCCCCTGGGTCCATTTCGAATAACGTCAGGATTTCAAGCGAACGAAACTTTGTGACCTTCTGGCAACTGGAGGGCCCATCGAGGATGGCAGCCGCCCCGTCCGAGCCCTGCCGAGGGCCCGTGCTTCTTTCAAGCCCTTTGCAGGTCGTCTAAGCGCAGCGGCGAGAGGTCAGCCTCGTCGGACGGTGCCTCCCAAGACGAAAGAGGTGGGCCTCTCCCAGCTCTGGGCCACAGAACGCTGGTGGCCTGTCGTTCGGAGAACGCGTGGGCGGCCTGGCCCCCACCCGTCACCATTTTTTTTGGCCCACGCCTTCCATTTTGAACAGCCGCGAGGTCGAGTCCAGGTTTTGACGACGTGAGCACTCTTGCTCAAGGCGATCGTCAGCTCCCGAGGTCCTGCGCCCTGGACCCCTTGCGGCAAAACGCAGGGACTCCAACTGCGCTTCTGAGGGGCCCTTGGGAGATCAGTCCAGCACGGGCAGCATGCTGTTCGACCTGTGCTTCCGAGTGCCCCGCAATCGCCTGCTTCGGCCCCTGGGTTCCCCAGCGAAAGGGCTTGATCCTTGCGCAAAAGAGAGGACAGCGCTATCCACGTCGTTGTCAGCTCCGAAAAACGTCGCCGTTGGTCTCCAGCGGGGCTTTCCTGGTAGATGGGGTCCAGTCGAGCGCCCTGAGTGGTCGCGGGGGTCCTGGATCCCATGGAATCGATCAACTTCTTCTCAGCTTCGGTAAGCCACTCCCGATATAACCAATCTAGATCTTGATCAAGCGGGTCGCTCCACTGGACAGCCCTTTCTTGTGGCACGGGCCCCATGGGCGACGTGCTGAACGGCTTGGAACGCACCTGCTGGTCCTTGGCCGCAGACTGGCTCAGGTTGCTCATCCGCAGCAGCACGGGACTATGGGGCAAAAGCGGGGCTCCTGTGACGACCTGAGCGTCTCTGACAC